GCAATGCATGCGTTTGAGCCCATTTAATGCTATTATTGTCAATCTAAAGACGCAAGATTGGATGGATTACATTAGCTGGCATTAAAAGACATTTAATTTAGGAAACGACCAATGAAACCAGGATAAAACTGAAAACAAGGAGAGGAAGAGACAGAAAAAGGTTCTTAGTAATACAGTACAATCCCAAATAAATAAATCAAAACACGGTGGGGAATACTTATAGGTAAGTTAATTAGAATGAACATGTGAAAATGTTCAATACTTAATGTATGTTTATCAATTTTAGTCGTCCATTTGAACTGTTTATTGAACTGTCTTGCACTGTCTGCACTGTATAAGCCGAGGTGTAAAATGGCCATTTTAGTATTAGAGGTGTAATGATCCATTGATCTGTCAAATCCCTACTACTCCTTCAAAGTCAAGCATAGGGTTTTCTTCTGATGATGAAAAAACATTTGCATTTAAACATGAAAAATGTGGAATTTTAAAATGAAACAGGTCTTTGTTCCGTTTTGTTAACAAAAGAGGTCGTTTTTCAATTTAATGTCCAAACCATTTCAGATATCAACATTGCCAAAACTGATAAAAAAAAAAAAAAGTTTTTTTAAAGTGAATTAGAAATGTGTTCAAAATATACTCCAATGAAGGCCCCTGAATCGAATCGAATCAAAATCGTATCGTGGCAGACTTTATGATATAGGCAAGATTCGTATCGTGATGAAACTGGTGATTTAGCCCCCTAGTTAGTATCAGATTCCTAGATGTCTATTGGTCTGGTACACAGTGGTAATATGGTAAACTGGGATAACCAAACAAGCAGATTTGATAATCCCTCTTTTCATTTTTAGGGTGTTTATTTGTTTGTGCTATTCTTGTCAGTGTATTATTGTATGATTGCCTGGAGGGATTGCCTTCAATTTGGTACACACCAACAAATGGACACAAGGATTAAATTGGTGGTCTAAGGTCAGGGATCAACATCACTGTGACCTTATGTCCATTCGCAACACCAGGAGCGGATTTTATAATCAGTGCTTTATTGTTTCTCTTTCATCCCTCTTAGATAAATGATTATTGGATTAGTGGACACTCTCCCCACACTACCTCTTGTGTACATGTTTGTTAGTGTAGAGAGTCTACTGATAATCACAAGGTCTGCAGAGATTTTATAGTTTGGCCATTATGTAAATGATTATTTTTAAAGGTTTTTTGTGCGACCCTTACTGTTCAACGTAGGCCTTGTTATACAGTTGTTTGTTTTTAGAGTAAAGAATTCTCAAATCCCTTGACCATGCCACAGTGACATTTTCAGGCTATGGGAAAAACTAAAGAACTATGAGAAAACTAAAACTGGACTGGTTGGTAGTGCCCTACAAGTGCAAGGCAATTATTCTATTTTAATTGATAATTCAAAGAAGACAGAAATGAAAATTCACAAGCTGCTGTTCAAATAGCTTAATCGCGCACTAATAGTTGAAGTCATGAAAAACAGAGTCCTCGCAGCTGACAAAAAAAAGCTCCAGGTTATCTTTGTAATACCCCAATATATGATGCACTTATTGGATAAGATTGTTGACCAAATAAATGTCTTGAAGAATAAAATAGTAATTAAAACTGCTCCATCCAACATAGGGCATCTTTTATATTGTGCTTGAGGATGAATGAATCCTTCAAAAGCTTTAAAATCAGTTTCAGTTTTCTGTTTGGAGATACAAACTAACATGTATTCCTGCCTGACCCTAATTATCAGAATGTAGCCTTGATGTGGATAACATGCAGAATGACCATTAGCATTTTCAATGTGACTTTCCGTCTTCTAAGTTACAATTCAAAGAGCCTCGAGTCCCATTCTTGGCTGGGTGGAAAATCAATAACACTAAGCAGAATGCCTCCTTGGCCCTGAGGCTTTCAGAGAAGCTCTGTCTGCGAGCATCCCAACAAATAATAACATGAATATTTATGAAGAGGTCTCTGGATGAAAATATTGTTTACACACAAAATGGGAGAACGTCTGTAAAATTATGCAAGTGAGGATACAATATATTTCTTAAAGGTAAGATTAGAATGTTTTGTTGGCATGGTAACACTGCTCTTGCTCTGCAATAAAACTGTGATTGTGTCTAAGGATTTTTTTGGTGTGGACCAGAGCAAATAATGGACATTTATTTAGCATATTGGAAGAACCTTAATTTAATTTTTACACTGGCAACGTCTCTTCATTGTAGTTTCACTCAGTGCAGATGTGTACTGAATTAACAATCACCATGAAGTCTTTTATTATCAATCTCTAAGCATGCTGGACATTTAACACAAATGGTGGGTTGAAATTAACTCTCTTTTTTGAAACCTCTGAATCATGTGAGTTAAACCACATCGTTCATTCTGGTTGGAAATCTTTCTAAAAATGTTGGTGTACACCATTTGCAAGCAACAGTGATTTAAAAGGACAACAATATGGATGTCAAAAGCAACTTGTTATCAACCACAAAATATCAACCTGAACCTCTCTACATCCATTCCCATTGACATTACAGAGTTTACAGTTAAAATAATTATGTATTTAAAAAGCATTTCCAGATATTTATACAATTCTAATGTGTGCTCCTTACATATTCTGTAAAAGCATGACTGTGCTAAAGAAACCTAATGCATTGAAGCACCTCTTTTCTGCAGTGTCTCACATTCATACATGGCCACATCATGATGGTGGCAGCCGCCCAATCATATGCCTCCAAAACACTCTCAGCAAGAGACGCAGGATTACCATAATATAGCGCTGCCAGTCACTTTCAGTCACTACGGTGTGGTGAAGCTTCAGCACTCATGGATGTATCCACACATGAATAATGCACCATTTTAGAGATAATCCAGTGCAGGTTGTGTTGGAAACAATACTGACTGTCACTGCACTAACATTGAATTCCATTTGGTGGATTTAATGTACCTGGGCCTGCTATTCAGACGTTACTTAATCAATGGAACATAGCAACTGTTTGTGCCAATTACTTCAATAAAGAAAGACAGTAACATGGCATTGAGACCCTGTGCAGAACCCATTTAGTGAGAACTCATTTAGCTTCATTTGCATTTCACTTTGTGCCGGCACTTAAATCCCAGTATCAGGCACAAACAGTGGCACAATCCCAAAGAGGGACTAATCGGTATCCTACTTACACTAAAAAATGCTTTAATATATTTATTTTTAAAGGATTTACCCGCCTGTTAAATCTATCTTTGGAACCAACAAGATGCAGGGTAGAGTCATTTTCCAAATCTCAGCTATTCTCATCTCTGGCACATTTTTTGTCAGGGCCACTTGTTTGCTTCAGCACATCTTCAATGTCAACCTTGGAAACATCTTAGAAACGATCTCTACGTCCAGCCTCATTTTACAGTTCCTTAACTATGCTTTTGATCATCACACATGATTTCATGTGTGGTTTACTACACAATAGTCCCCATCTAACAACACTCCACAACGTTTCATTAAAGCGAAAAGGTCAAAACTGTTTCATCCGGCCACCACTTCGTCACATCGCTCTCCAGTACAAGCGAGACAAGATGAAGCCACACAGATAATGATGGTAATGAATAGCTGTAAAATCCATCATCAAAATCCATTCAGAAACCCTTCATAGCTAGAAAATGTGATTTGCAGGAGCAGAAAGGAGCAAGGGGATGGCAGCATTGTTACAGAGCCAGAGGCTTACGTTACAGTTGTAGTGTAGGCAATGTTTTATTCAGCTCTACATGCTCCTCTATGACAGTGTATGATGTACGACTAGAGAGCATGAGGACATCCTGCTAGCCAACTTTGTCAAGACATGGAAACACTTACTCATAGCCATTGAATACAAACACATACACTGACAATAGCATTTATGTGGACACACATGGTGTCATCAAGGCTCATGTAAAACACACAATGGCGAAGGCAGGTGACAGTGCAGAGAGGAGGGATGTGTGAATCCAGAACCCCAGAAAAAAAGGCTGGCCTGTCTGCTTAGATTAGTAGAACTGTTTCTATTTCGGGAGCAGCTTCAGAGAACAGAAACGATTCATTTAGTGATAAACAGAACACACAGAAGAAGACACTTGGACAGAAGTTCGAGTTTTCCCAATACCAGCATCATACATGTACAGTCCTCTTTGGCAGATGGGAGTTTTTTTCATAGGACTGTAAAACTTTTAATGAGCTCCTTTCAGACTTATTGACTGCTGAGTCTCCATTCATACCTCTTCAATGTCAACCTTATGTTGTGAAACAATCTTTACTCAGGCTCTAATTATTGACTTTCTCTGTTATGATGTAGAGCATATGATTTTATGTGGGGTATTAAAGAATAATTGGGATGTGACAACACTACACCACATGGTACCAAGGCTGGTACCTTTACCAGTATGCCTCAGATACTGTCCAAAATGTGGTCTCTGGTAATGGCGAGATCTAGCATAATCAATAACCTCCCCCACAAAAAAAAAAATCTTGTGATTTAAGGTACATTAATGTTTGACATTAACAAACAGCAAAAATTGTTGTGCAGAGTGTAATATTTGTGAAACTAGCAAGATATTAGAAATCAGTATTTTTCCTCTAACATTATACATGTATAGTATATTTCATCACACAAGTTTATGACTGGGACTCTGTATCGCCAAATACTAATGTCTGAATATCAGAATCTGTAAATAATTGGAAGTAGGTTAACTATCCAACATCTCTTGCAATGACAAAGGATGTCACTCAAGTCCAAAACCAATTGCAACCACATATATCAGTAAACATTGAGGCAGTCAACAAACACTTCAGTTAGCTTTTTGGTAAATCATGTTCTTTCTGGCTGACTCTAAACCAAACAGTTTTTACATTTAATCTGTACAGCATCCCAAAAGTCGAAAAACACGGTGCCAGTCAACATAACCGGCAACTACTCCAACTTCCCAGCAGCCAATTGGACAACACAACCCATCATTAAAATCACTTACATCCCAACACTTACCACTCATGCTGAGGCTCATCAATGACCAACAGGATCTTGAACTTCTTGGAGAGGGAAGGGGAAGGAGCCGACTGCTCCACAAACCCGGCAGCGGTTGCGGCCGTCTGTTTGACAGCGTTGGTAATGGAGCTGAAGGAGCTAAAGAAGCCAGAGGACCCGCCAGAAGAGGAGGACTGGGCCTGTGGAGACTGCTGAACCTGCTGGCTCAGACGCCGCTCCTGGGTTGCGGGGGAGCTGGCTGGCACCTGGGATGCTGCTGGAGCTACAGTCGGGGACTGGGCAGGAGCATTTGCTGGGGCTTCACCTTGCTGGGAAGGGGAGGAGGCAGTAGGTGGAGGAGGAGCAGGAGGGTCAGGCCTCTGGAGGTCTGACATGTATCCGTTGGGCAGGTTGGACATGAAGCTGCTGTCAGAAAGGCGGCGGCGGAGGAAGTTCATGGTTGCGGTCAAAAAGGTTGGATAATTAGTTGCTGTTTAAGATGGTCTCTTGGTTTCTTGGCTGAAGGGAGAGAAAGCCGGAAATTGTCCCAAAAGAGAGAAACACACAGATCAGAGGTTAGATGAATGACAGAGAGCCAATCAGCAAAGGTATTTGATAAGAGAGCTGCTTCTCTGTTGAAGGAATGGAGTACAGGGAGGAAGGAAAGGATGGATGAAGCGATGGATTAAGCTCTGGTCCAGTCTTCAAGAGACAGCTCTCCAAAGCACAGCACAGCCAGCAAAAACTGCGCGCGTGTATTGGTAGTCCTCCTCCTGTGCCTTACTCCTCCTCACGAACGCATGAGTGACGTATGAGAGTGTGTGTCTGTGTGTGTGTGAGAGAGAGAGAGAGAGAGAGAGAGAGAGAGAGAGAGAGAGAGGTGTGGTTTGGTGTCGCCCCCTTCGGTAAGGTGATGGTGTTCTCCGCCACGTCTACTCTGCCTTCCAGCTTCCTGAGCTACTGCAAACTGAATGCGCTGAAGAGATGCTGCTCTCTCTGCTTATCTCACCCTTTCACTCTCTCCCTCTCCCTCCCCGCTCACTTTCTCGCTCGGCACGCTTGCTGGCTGTCTCCCCCTCCCCTCCCCCTCCTCTTCCCTCCTGTCATCATCCTCCTACATCACAGGCTACGTGTGTGTGTCGTGCTGCAGCCTTGTAGCGCTGCGTGCCGTGTGCAACCACTGGAAGGGGTTTCCTATAAGCGTGCATAAGGTGGAGTTCACAGATGGGAACGCCATCCACCCTACTCTGCAAGCCCCACCTCCTTCTCCCGCCAACAATCCATCTTTATAACCTCCCTTTTAACCTGCCTTTCCTTCATCCCTTTTCCTCCATTGTGGGCTCACAAATGTGACATAGCTGATACATTTTCTGGAGAACTGATTCTGGATAAATAACCCCCACTCTGAGAATGTGTTTTTTTTTTTGTTTTTTTATAATTTGCCATCCAAAGCATGTGGCCTTATGGAGTGCATTGTTAATCTAAACCCCTCTGGGGAAGAAGCCAAGGTAGAGGACAGTAGTAAAACAGGAGGAGAGGAGAAAGACAGAGATCAATTCCTCACTTATGGTTTCTATCGACTGATTTAATCAGTGGAATGATTCCCTCCAGTGGAACGTGTTGCTGTGTCCTGTTCTGCAGCATTACAGCATCACATGGAGGTAATTGTGGCGCTGACCAAGGGTAGCCATGCTTGGAAAGATCCAATAATACTATCAGTGAGATGCACTATTCAATATCTTACGGCATATTGTGCTCTTAGCAATTAGGGCCACAGCATCAAGCAGAGCAAGGACTGTATTGAAATGAAGGGAATAGTTTAATTTTCCAAATGAACTGAATACAAGAAAACGTCAAGGTGCCCCAAAAGTCACTGAACTTTGCACACAGGTCAGAAAAATTTCAAAATTCATGGGTTTCTTACAGTAGGTTTACAACCTCCCATAGTTACTGTACGGTAAAAAATAATTAAAAAAAATTCAGCACCTGTAGGTTTCGCAAACATGGAAGAACCTTGGTTGGCATTCACATCAGGGAAACACCAACAAACAGATTGTTGGAGCAAAATATTAAATCCAACTGGAACTCTAAATGTACATTGTATTTTGAATGAATTGTTTCACCAACACCGTAGCAGTGGTGGTATATAGAAATACTCAGTCTTTTTCCTGGTAGCCCTGTTTTTCTCCAAGTCCCATGGAGGTATCAGTATATTCCTTTCAACACAACACAATTTGTTTCTCTATCTCTTTCACTTAGTGTTTGCAAACAAACACATCCTATTGGCTTAATAATGTATTCACTATCTTTGGGCACGACAATAGCACAACTCCAACCTTAATGCCGACAGCATCAGCAGCAGGCTCCTTCTGTACCGCACTGTTTGCTGCCCTGAGCTTTACTTTCAGAAATAGTCACAAGATGATAGGACAAAGAGAGAGAGAAGGAAGATTATTCAAGCAGGAAGAATAACCCACACACCAAGAGTAACAGCTTCAAGGGCTGCAGCAGAGAACAAAATATAGTCCCAAAAGTACTTCTATCTTGTCTTCAATGGACAATTATTCCTACAAGGATGGAAAGCAGAAATATTCCTCAAATCATTTATCCAATTTGACTGCTCATACAACCGAAAGTATTGTGATTTTTTTAGAGCAGCTTGAATTTTGAATACAGATTTTTTTTAAGCACTGATACTATTTCAATTGATGGAAATGTATTCCTTGACCTTTAAACCATTGAAATACTGCTATTCATCTTCACTCTACACCACTCATCTGGCCGTATCTCTTCTGGACCTGAAAGCTATTTTCCAATGACTCATAATTCAAGTCTTTTTTTAACGGATGAGCAATTGTTGCAATTTGCAAGCGAGGAGCAAGTGCTGTATAGATTTCTGAACAATACTGCAGCAGCCCCCATCTGCCACCAGCATAATAATCAATTCATCCCTTATGTTTAGGAAATAACACAAACATTTAACCGCAGAAGGAGGTGTGGACAATTTTTAAATGGGCCACTAGGCCCCTGTTTCAATATGATGCACATTGAACAGAAAATGTGCTGATGATGGGAAAAAGGTGGTCCCACAAGTCTTGTAATAACAAGGAGAAAAGAAGGAAGAGATTTTTGTGTAAATATATTGCTCTTTTGTCTCCAGCATCAAACAGTTAAGTTGAATACAGTGCAGTAAAATAACAAATAAAAGCGACTTGCGTTAAGCCCTCAAACGAGACTGTTTTGCACAACATGCAGGATGCACATTTGTAGCGAGTCACGATGAGTCGAGCCCACTGAGAGGGGTGGGGGGTGGGGAGGGAGGCATGTTCAGTCAACCAGAATAGAGCCGAAGTGAGTCACAGTCAGAGCTGCAGTGTGAACTGTTGCGACAATCCTAAGCTCATCCTGGCCTACATGTTTCATGACACACGTACACAACACATCGGGCTTTCTACAAACACCCATCATATCATAAGTGTGCATATGAAATTATGCATGAGTCAAAGATTAAACACTTTTTTCTCATATTTTCCTGACATGCAAACAGATGTTCACACACAAATTTTAAATTGAAATCAAGGATATTTTAATTCACAAGTGTCATCAATAAATAAAAGTTATTATGCTATTTAACATTAATTATGTCTGTCATAAAATGCATAATGTGATCCCTCTTCATTGACGGATATTTAATATTTATATGCTTCACAGTTTACTGCAGGTGTGTGTGTGTGTGTGTGTGTGTGTGTGTGTGTGTGTGTGTGTGTGTGTGTGTGTGTGTGTGTGTGTGTGTGTGTGTGTGTGTGTGTGTAGTGTAGTGTGCCCTGGCCTGGTTTTAAGGGATTTGCTTCAGATATTCAGGCTTGTGTGGGCGAGTATGCCATGGTCAAACCTCTTGTGGCTCCACTGGCTCATTTAAGATAATCCTAGAAAATCCAAATACTTTTGCACTCTGCACATCTGGCATTGACAGCAGGTGCTCATGCCATGCCACAACCTCACTTCCAAAATATTTCATGAATTAGTCGTTTCAATTTTAACTCGAAGTACTCAAAACATAATAATTAAAACAGACTTTTTAATCACTAAATATAATGGGGCAGCTTGAATCAATGGAAGTTTGCCCTGCAGGAAGAGATCTCAGAAGCACCAGCAGGTTCATTGAAAACACAGGGTGGCACAGTCCAGGAAGCAACAGCGTTATTTTGAGGCCATGGTATTGCAAAGTACATTGTTAACCTGTATTTAAAGGAGACCTTACAATGGTAGACCTTCACAGAAGTTACATTGATGTGCTTCTTGCTTTAGAAAAGGGTTTTGATGCTATTACATCAGACAAAAAAAAGAAAAGAAAGATTAAAATGCCTGAAGCTACTTAAGGGAGCAGAGTCGATTCAGCCATAAAACATAGCTCTTTGAATGAACTTCAATAGTGGTTTATATGGTGCATAGAGCTACAAGAGTAAAACACCCACACGCGAGTCAAATGTCTGCTGAAGATCTGTTGAAACTACATTAAACCAGGTAGTTTGTGTGTAAAAACCGCATTCATGTATGCACAACCAAGCTTACTTTCACTATTCTGCAGAGGCTGTTGCAGAGCTAAAGACAATGCTGCCTGGCTGTATTATTATATTTTTAGCCACAGCAACACTTTCAAGTTTCAAAACTGCCATGGTAACAAGTAGAACAGTGGTTGGCTTGGGTATCCCAACAAGAAAAGCACAACATGTCTTTAATAACACACTTGAAGCAAATGTTAACGTGTTGCAGAGGTTCAAACACATATTTTAGCTCAAATTTGGCTGGATGCTAATGTTAACTTTAGCCACCCCCGTGGGGGGGGTCTTCATGAGGTTAGCAAAAACATAATCCATCCTTAATTTAACTGATGGTAGACACATTTTATTTGAAACCTAAACATACAACACATATAAAAGCAACACAAATTTACATTATATTAATTGTTACTTCAGTAAAATAAATAATAAATAAATTGTAAACCCCCATTTATTAAATGGTCTGAGCCTTATTTAATGTTAATGCCAGGGGCAGGCCCACTGAACTTAACTGTTAGGCCAGTGTCGGACTGATATCGCTATACCAGCACCTGCACAAAAGTCTGGATGCCAAAATTGAAAGAAGAAGCAGGGAACTGGCTATACCATTTGACCCCAACAATATACGGCTGTACAACTTATATCAATTAGCTCAAAAGCTGATTGGAGCCAGGCAGAGGAGGCCAGTGTTAGCCAGGAGGCTAGCACTAACGGTACTATTCCAACTCTTTGTTACATTGATAATAAATCAGATCTTGGGAGGGCCTCTTCACTGGGCCCTTCGGGGTCCTACCTTTTTCGCGGTGACTCTGAGGGTCAAAATAATACAACATTTCAGGTAACATACATTTTTTCACGGAACACGTGCACATTTCAGTTTACGGAAAGGATGGGGCAAAACTTCTTGTTGATTGGACAGAAGCCAAGTCCATGCTAACATTTAAATACTGTGTACCACTCCCAATGAGGTTCTTGTAGTTTTTATTAGTAAGAAAACTATGGAAAAGGAGATTCAAATAATATGGAATATTGTTACAAAGATTTATATGATGGACTTTTCAATGCTTACATTGCATTTGTGATGAGCCTTCCTATTCTGTTTGCAGACCCCTGTGTGATTAGGTGTTCCTGTGTAGGAGGAGGTCAGATTGGCAGAAGGTATGTCCAAGGAATGATATAATAACTCCCCTTGAAGACTAGACCAGAGGGCTGATAAGCCAGCTCTCTCGCTCTCCTCCTAGCTAGCAGGTCTTTTGTTTGGTTGTGTTCCTGGTTCTATTAGATTTGCTTTTGTGCACACACTACACTCTTTACTTCGCCTCATCCACACACTCACATAAGTCATCTTGGCTTACAGTTTCACTATGATTATTCTGTATATAAGTAGCTCAGTATTTATTGAAAAAAAGGTTTTACATGAATTAATCATTAGCTGTGTGGTCTTCTCGTATGTTTTTGTTGTCTGACTTATGGACTTGTTACATGCTATTCCGCATGTCTCTATCTCCTTTTGTATCTTTGTTGTTCTTGTCCATGTGAATGCTTTGCTTGCCTCTCTTGTGTTTGTGTGCCTGTCCTCCTTCTACATAAAGTAAAGAGGTTGTGTGGTTCAGGTTCTACATATGGTGGTAGCTTAAGCTTCTTAACATTCGATTTTTACAATCTACATCTGTCATGAGATATTCTGTGAATGTTTGTTTGGCCTTTCTTGTTCCCATGAAATCCTAAGTATGCCTGTCATTAGTGTTTGGGAGACTTTTACAAATTAAAGTGACTTGACCTGACACTTAAATGGCAACAAGGTACCAAGCAGGGTTCTGGGCTGGCCATCAGCAGCAAGTTTTGCTTCAGGGTCTTGCCCAAGGACATGAGGAGTGCAGCCGCCTCAAGAAAAATGAACTTACTGGTTAAAAATCCATATCAAAATGTAATGTATCATTGGGCGCTTGTGGCGCATTGGTTAATGCGCGCGCCCCATGTATGGAGGCCATGGTCCTCCAAGTGGGCGGCCCAGGTTCGAATCCAGCCTGTGTTTCCTTTCCCGCATGTCATTCCCCACTCTCTCTCCCCGATTTCCAGCTCTACCCACTGTCCTATCTCTCCATTAAAAAGGCACAAAAAGCCCAAAAATAAATCTAAAAAGGAAAAAAATGTAATGCATCATTACGCGTCTTCAAACATCTGAGTGAAAATAAACATCCATTACTACTAGCCAACCTTGTCAAAAACAGCGTATTTACACGTAAATATATTAGTGTGTTACTAAATCATCCAACGGTTCATGTACCTGTAGTTCTATGATAAGCTATGGTGTGATGGTGACATTTACTCTCTAACTAAAACATACAATTTAACCTATGTTTCATTTGGTATACATAGTCTAGTTAATAATCATTCAAAATTCAGCTTTTCTTCTTCTGTACAAACACAGCAGCTGTTTGGAGCTATAGATTAAAATGATTAAGAGACAGCGGTCATGTCTGTAGAAGTTAGTATTATGAATTATACTAAAGTTAAAAACTTGTGTCTAAATGTATCAGCAGCTTCTGTTGCCTATATTATAAACCTTATAGGATCTATTCTGCTCAGTGTCACTGTAACCGTCAGTGGGGTAAGATAAAAATGGCTGCCTGTGTTCATCTCCTCCTGTGGGAGCCTCAAGCAGCTGTGCATCAATGCAGTGTGTGTGTGTGTGTGTGTGTGTGTGTGTGTGTGTGTGTGTGTCTGTGTGTGTGTGTCTGTGTGTTTAATGGTACATTTTCTTTTCATGTTCCTTCACTCGACATGGGCAGCAATGGCAATCTCCATGGCAACAGGCGTGCGAAAGCTGAATAGATTCTGCAAGTTTGTGCACGTCTGTGTGTGTCTGTGTTTGAACTAACATTGGATATGTGTTTACAAACACTGGCTCATTCCCATCAGAAGAAGCTAATAATGAATTAGAATCTAGTTTCATTAAAATATGCATGCTGATATTTCTGCACATTTAAAGATCGCTATGTGTTATGTTTTTTTTTTATGTAAGTTGACTGCAAGATGAACTTAAGTGTATTTCTTTGCCAAGCTAACAATTCAACCAGTAGACATCCAAATTCATTGTACCTGAGGCAATGAGCCTCCACCACAGGGACATTAACATCTGCAACTCTCAGTGCCATGCATGTGGTTTACACACGTTAATTCCAAATCCCTTTAAATTGTAAAAATCAATGTATTTTCACCACACATATCGTTTCAGTTTATTAGTTGCTCTTGTTCCAAACAAAAAGATACAAAACGCAGCCTTCACTTTCGATTCCAGACAGCAACTTCTCTCATTTTCACACTGGCCCACAGACAGTGTGAGGAAAGATTGAGGTGTGATGGAAGGATTCACAGTCTTCAGAGTGGTTTATCTTTACAAGCTTTGTTCCTGCATTCTTGCTTTCTACAATTTCTACAAGTAAACCTTTCTGCAAGCATTAGAAACAAAAATGAGAAATGGACTTGAACAGCTGAAGAATCTGTGAAAAATAATACTCTTCTATTATGCGTAACTTCCCTGTGTTGATTAATGTTCAGTTTCCCCATGTAAAAAAAAATTGTCATAGCAGTATCAAATAATGAATGTGCATACTGATGAACCTATAACCATCACCAGAATCTTTAGTCCCATCCCCACCCTGGACTTACATTATTTTTTTTTTCTTGAAAACAAAACTACAAATGAATGTTGCTGGCAGCTTAAATAAATTACTGTTGGCAAATATGCTCATACAACTTCAAAGGTGGTCATATGTATATTTTTTCGGGTGTAAAACTGAACTCAAAATGATTTTCACAACATGCTTCGTATGTCATGTAAAATGTGTTGCTTAAACAGATACAATACATCACAGCAGCTTCATGCTCCATGCCCAGCACCGTATAGCTGACAGACAAAGCAGGTGAGTAGAGTAGACTCATATAGTCCTGTATATTTCCCCCCCCAAGAGTTCCCAGAGCACAGAAGAAATAAATAGTGGAATAACAGTTTGTTGAGATGTCAGAAACAAAAAAAGTGCTTAAATTCCCTAACATATATTCGGTATCAACTTTTAGAGATTTAAGTAATCATCAATTGATAACGTCACAAAAACCACCTGCTCTACTGAATAACGATTGTTTAACCATACATATTTACAACTTACTAAATCCTAAAGGGAACGATACTATACAGTACATCCCCAAGGTAACACCGACACAGTAATTAGGCTTTAAAACACGAGGTAGGAAATAGCTCCAGGCTATAAGAAACATACTAATTCAAATCTTAGGGTCACGATTGTAAGCATTTATTTAACACATGCATAGTGCAGGATGTACGAGTAATACTTTACTTAAACTGGTGCTTCACAGTCCCTGAATTAAGGCACCTCAACCGAATGAGTGAGGATTAAGTGACCTTATCAATATTCATTTGGTTGAGAAGATTGCTTATGGCAATTACTGAGAAGATAATATTTTTCCTGCTCCTGACAATTCAATAATGAGCTGCAGACATATTGCTAACTTTCACGAGTCTACATTCATTATTAATTCATTAAAATTAATGTGAGAATTGGGCCTATGAGATTATGCAGGGGTGAAGACTGATGATAGCCTCAAAAGCTTTTTGTCTTTTACCTTTACAGATAGGCTATATTTTGAGCCCAAACCACCTCTGGCAAAAGAGCAAGTCTTAGACCTGACAGGAGCAGTCATCATTATCATGTCAGGGTGATTCAATTCTCATATAGCTAACATTTTGTTTTTTAAAATACAAAAATGTAAACACCACATATTGTGAAGAAAATGATCATACAGACAGAGCAGCCCTGACTACTACTTTGTCTAACCCTTCCACAGAAACAAAACATGCACTTTAACTTATGTCAATACTGTCAGTTTACGACTCTGTTTTTTGCACATTTACATTTAATCTTCCATATTGAATCTTCCTATTTAAGACTAGTAATGCTTAGTTAAATCCTGGTTGTATATATTCACATTCTTAGTTTTGATATTTTTAGTACTTATTTACTTTGTATTTAATATTATGTTTAGATTTGCTAACATTGTGTTTTTTACTCATACTGTGTGTTTGGATAACCTGCTGCTGTAACGCCACCATTTCCCAGTTTGGGATCAATAAAGTAATTATATTATATTCTATTCTAAAACGGTTTGGGTTAGCTTTCACATATGCTTCAACTTACTATGTCAAATATATTATGAAAAAAAGCACATGTCAACTAAGCAGTGGATCTTAATGACCTACTTCGACATTTAAAGGTAACTCCTTAAAAATAGGTTTAGTAAGATTTGATGTAAATTAACATGCATCTCAGAGATAAGGGGGAGGCCTGTGTCATGTTTTATCATTTTAAATATGACTACTGTCAGAGGACTGTGTGGCTTCATGTCAACTTATACCTTTTAAGAAAAATGCTGCTTACCTTTGCAAGTTCAATCTGCATTCCTATACAGGAAACACATGTTTGCCCGTTTCTGCAAACCAGCCTTATGGCCCATATTTACAGTCTATGCCCACACCTCATGCCACCTGGTTAAACCTGGTTAAACCTGGTCAAAAACCACCCTCTGCTGGCTAAAGTTGGCGTTTGCTTGGATGATTATTTTATATTTCTATAATTTCTATACTACAGTACTTTATATTTATCGCCTGTATTCAATCATAGACATGACTATGCTGAAATAAAATGCTCAATAGCCATTATCTAGCGTGTTTAACAGCTATTTTACGGTTCAGTGGGCTTACCTATCATCTTAGACTCGATTTCCCGTGAGCCTCCAGTCCGCAACAGACTCATGACGTCAGTTCTAGGCGACTGTCAAGCACACAGCTGACCCAGCCTGACCTGATGAACGTGCCCAGGCGATAATTGTGATGATTAAAGTGCCTTTCAGTGGTAGTGATCGTGTTTCGCGGCATTAAAACCCTCATTCAAACATGTATATCCAACTTTATGCTACCAGAACATTATTTTGCTCGTTATTTAGTCGGTTATTCCGCTGATACACAGGCGTAAGTGGTTCCTGGGAAGCTGGTGAAACTAGCTAGTTCTGAACAACATGACTCTCCCCGCTTTGCACACCACCGGCGTGCTTTACAGGAGGATTTTGTCACAGTTTCCTCAGGACATTAGTCTAGCTTTTGCCTATGGATCTGGCGTTTTCAAACAGCACGGCACCAACCAAGGTCAAATGGAGGTAAGCGACCCTGGTCCAGTTTCTAAACACCACTGACAATGTCTCTGCAGGTAAACTTTTCATTATCATGACATCTGCGTGTGCTTTAATGAATGAGAGTGGACTGAAGCACTGGTCACTTCAAATGCTTTGGATTAGTTTGTTCAACTACTGGCTACTTTAGATATAAATCTTGAACAAACAAAGTATTTACTTTAGGTTTAGGGAACGGGGTTAAAATCTCGTATAGTCAATGTGTTTCTATTGATGTTGTCAATTTATATCACTATATTTCTTTAAATGTGTTGGGGGGGGGACTGTGCATAGGTCAATTTCATTATCTAAATGCACTATTGTTTTGACCTTAAGGGGAAAACTAAAGGCGCTACATTATAAGTTTGTGAATTAAATGTAAACGATGCTGCCAAAGATTTTAAATCATGCATAAAACTAACTTACAAAAGGAAAACACCAAAATGGAAGCCAAAGGCTTCAGGGTATTCAAGAGGCCATCATACACTCTTAACTGATATAAAAAAGTAATTTAACCTGATGTGTGCACAAAAAAAACCTCAATTGTGACACAATACCAGAGCACAGTCAGGAGAAAAAGGTTATTACACAAAAAAGGCAGAGAAAGACCTATGCTTCCTCTCTGATTTTGCTTGATTAACAAAAAAGGACACACTTCTGATGTTGTGTCACAAAACTCGGGATATCTAACACTGAAGACGAAGCAAGAAGCACCATGCAACTTGATGTGTGAAAGAGAGAGAGAGAGAAAACCTTGTCAGAAGGCGTAACAGTGATAATAATAATAAAATACGATTCCATTAAAGTTGATAATAACCAACGATACTGAGTTATCACCTCACTTTGTGTTTTTCTCTAACATACACAGAAGAACATGCTTGACTTTGTGTTTGCGGTGGACGACCCAGTGACATGGCACACCATGAATCTGCTGCAGAATCGCAAACACTACTCCATCCTGAAGCTTCTTGGACCCACAATGATCAGCTCTGTACAAAATGAACACGGGGCTTCGGTATACTACAACACACTGGTGCCCGTCGATGGAAGGGTAAAAGCCTTTATCTCTGGTTTATATGTTTCATCTTCAAATAGCCCAAATGTCTGGCTAGATTATGCTAACGGTATACACAAATGGCCTTCTCCTTTTCTTTTCAGATTATCAAATACGGTGTGATAAGTACAGAGTCTCTGATAAATGACCTGATGCACTGGAAGACCCTGTATGTGGCCGGACGTCTACATAAACCGGTCAGTATCGTGATCACAGCTGTTTATAACAGATGATTTTATTGCAGAATTTTTTTATCTGACATCCTCTAAGTGTTTTTCTAAGATCTTTTCGGATATATAAAACATGTTACTTCAGTTGAGTGTTTTTTGAGAACATACAGAGTTGAAATTGTTGCAGATTTGGGGAAAAAAAGAGAACTTGTCATTCTAAGGTTTTGCTAAAATGTGCCCGCTTTAATGTGTTCCCCATGCAGGTGAAAATGTTGATGCAGGGTGAAAATGGAAAGCTCCGTGCGGCCCTGGTGGCCAACCTGAAAAGTGCCGTGACAGCCTCCTTCCTCATGCTGCCTGAGAGCTTCACTGAGGAGGACCTCTTTCTGCAGATAGCTGGTGTCTCGTATGCAGGTAAGTGGCTGGCATAATATAGAAAAACCTCAAGATTATGAGATGCATACACATTTAAAAGATGACCTTATGGTCAGAATTAAATCAGATATACTAGTGTATATGTATATGTGTATGTATGTATATATATATATATATATATATATATATATACTGTAGTATTTACACAGGCAGTTGTGAACTAAGATATAAATATAATTTCCCTTCTTTACTTTGTCTCCCACTAAGCAGGCACACACACACTTTCTTTCCATTGTTATAATATCCACACTTGCGGTTCTATGTGTAATATTGGTTTTGCATGTTTGTTTAAAAATGATGACATGCTTTATGAAGGTACAGTCAAACCATCGGGACGGTATTTGTCATCCCTCCCTCATCAGGGTTTTAGATTGGCTGGTGTTTGATGTTTTTGAAATAGTTAAACTAAAGGTTTTGTAACTTTATGAGTTGTCAGTATTGACCTAGTTTATTTTAACAGACGTCTTAGCACGCAAATAAAACAATCCTGTGTCACTATGAAACATTTAAGACTGTAAACTAAACAACTGAAGGTACTACAGAAAAGTCTGTAAAGCTTGTCCCTAACAAACGTTTGATAGTTTATGTATGCTTTTGAATTCTGTGCCTCTGTAGGGGATTTCCGAATGGTGATCGGAGAAGACAAATCCAAGGTGGCGAATATCGTCAAAGACAACATTCAGCATTTCCGAATTCTGTACAGCAACATCCTGCGGGACTGCCCTCAAGTGGTTTACAAGCCCCAACAAGGAAAACTAGAGGTAAAAACATGGCACACTCAGATACATGGAAGACACACCTTCTGACATGACCTCACTTGGCACCTTGGCAACACAACAGAACACTGTGTGCTGCTCTTTCAGCATGTGACCCATGATTACCTGTAATACAACTCCACAGACAGTAGTCTAGCTGAGTTACCTGTTTTACTACAGATGGAACGTGTGTACAGTGTTGTGTCTGTTTCACATTGAACAGCGTTATTACATAGGTGTGAGGCGTTATCTTCTCTTCATTATTATACAACTCTTAACTCACTCCCTTTTTTATATCTTTAAATCTTGAATAACATGTTTGGTAATTATTTGTGAGGAACAGCCCATTGTTTGTATCACGTGCGTGTATGCGTGTGTGTGACTAAAACATTCTGTAGTGATCAGCTTTGGGGACTTGTGCGCTGCGAGCCCTGCATGTGAAATGTACTTTTGCCACAGCAGTAGAAGTCACAAGTACATGAGCCTAGAAGAAGATGTTTTCTTCAAAATAAGTGGCAGTGACGATGCATTCACTAAATGTTTCCTTGGTTGTTCTTTTGGTTTCGTGGTTTTGATTGGTGTTTAAAAGGTTGAGTTTAGGTTTTGTAGTCACACTGATAATCCTGTATGTCCTTTCAAAGTCGTCAGAATTGATCAAATAAAACTTCAACATATAACTACTGAGTGTACAATATGCCATTGACAATATGATCAAATACTACATTTACCTTTTGTTAAATCTTTAACTGTAGGGAGTATACTGCATAACAGGCATGTCCTTATCATTTTGTCATCTTAATTCTTTACCCACAGTTCATTCAGTAATGACATTTTCCCTTGGAACCTGTGAACACGAGGGTCGGTGCTGCTGCATACGTGTGCCTTTGTTTATTTGTTCTTGTTTATGGGCTGGCAGGTCGATAAAAGCCCAGAGGGTCAGTTTATCCAGCTGATGGCGTTACCTCGGACCCTCCAGCAGAAGATCACAAAACTGGTCGATCCCCCAGGGAAAAATCGAGATGTGGAGGAGATCCTGCTGCAGGTCGCCCAGGACCCAGACTGTGGAGCTGTCGTACAGCAAGGTAATGGACCAAAGAATGGTGCGGAAAGAAAGATGATGAGGAAAATGCTTAGATCGTCACAAATAAAGAAGGAGGGAGAAATAATAAGAATCCAAAGTATCGGCATACTAACAAGCCAGTGTAATATGAAGGGTTATTTTAATGGATAAATTAAATGGCTTGTGCAAGTTTGTGACTAAATATTGTGGACTTGAGCCGTAAGTAGCATCATTAAATCATAATGCAGATTGATGAGGTATAAACTGTTTTGCTGTGTAAAGTCATGTTGAAGCCTGGTTTTGTTTTTTTCTCAGGTATTTCATCTATTGTGAAATCATCCAGTATAACACAGAGCATCAAAGGCATTGCTACAGCTGGTATGCAAAGCTTTTTTTTTTTGTTATCCTTGTTTGATACTTTTGGCAGCATCCTACAAAACATTTACCGTACTACTGTCAGGACTTGTTAGCAAGGGGTTCTCTGGTGCTTCAGCAAGAATGACTGTTTAGGGGTTTATCATTATTTGCTTTCTTGCTGAAAGATACTGAACAAGATCAATACAAATCTCAACTCCGTATATTGACTTTTGAGATAAAGCAAACGGTAGCTTAACTTAGCAATGAAGACTGGAAACAGAAGGAAACAGCTGCACCAGCGATAATACTGGAAACAAAATTAGCCCTCCAGCACCTCAAAATCTCACCAAATAACATACAGTGTAACACCACGTTTGATGCCTGCAATCTAGTTCAGGCAGTCAATTGTAGCTGTACTGATTTCACACTTGACATGCGTCATTCTCCACATTCACCTGACGACACCTCCCTCCAAGCTGCAAGATTCCGGGTCTCTCCCTCTGCGCTTTCATTGCCAACTCTGACCTGCACCAGAATCCACCTGAAGGCTCCGACATGGGGGGAGGGGGGTTTAAGATATCATCCCATTACTCCCATGACAAATAAAACTACAAGGAGTGATTAGATCAGAGCCTACACCAATCTAAAAACTATGTTCTGCTGCTGCGATATATATTTTAAACAAATAAAAACGTGAGTTGTGTGACAGAACTGTACTGAAAACCAAAGTAAAATGGATGGTTCTTGGGTGGTATGGTCTTTGTGAGAGGGTAGATTTTGTTACCATCAGAGATTAAAATTAGCAATTTGTAGCAAAGTTGCCATTTTTTTTGTGCTGAGCAAAGCTAACTGGTCGCTGCTTATGGAATATATGAGAGGAGATTCAGTTTAAACATCTCCACTCCCTGCAACAGGAAAATGAACTACTCCACCAAATTTTAACACCAGTGTGTGACAATACTGTGCACCTCTTACTTTTCATTAGAAAAATGATCTATCCTAAACATTATTAGTTCAAACCCAGTGTATTAACATTTGTTTTTAATATAGAAAATGTGTTCTACTGATCTTTAATGCCCTGTGTGTTGTCTGTCCTGATTTTCTCCAGGAGTTTGGAAGACGGTGTCGTACAGCTCCAAGAAGCTGATAAAGATGTGGAGGGGTTGGAGGAGGAAGCCGTCTGTCTCGCAGATGTCCTGATCCTGTCTGCCTGCCAGGAGTCTTGTCTTTTTTTTCTTCCTAAAAGCATCATCCAGACAATCAACATCCATCCTTCCATTTTTACCCTGCAAACATAATGTGCCTGTGGAACGATCATACACAGTCACGGCTGGTCGTATCACTGCACGTCCTCCATGAACGAGATCACTTACCAGGTACAAGTCTGTGTTTGAATAGTGTGGAACTGTGCGCACCGCTGGCCTTTATCATGCAACTCATAAAAGTGGTAGAAAAAGAGTGTGACATTTCACGAGCCGGACTGAATTATGGCTGACATTTAATGGTACTACACAACCAGACCTTTGTGGATAATGACTACAGAGACTGCAGAGGAACTGTTCAACATGTCTGGAGGCACAGGGCAGAATCAGTTCGCGCACTGCAAGCGCAAGAATAATGAGGGGAAATATTTACCGTCATCTTTCATATTTTGATATGTGCGAGTGTGTATGTGCAATTTCTATGTGAATGTTGCTACCTCAATGAGAAAGAGGTTTTTCCTGAGGACTTTTCAGATGTAGACTGGAGTTACATGTTGCACAAATACACTTCATATCACCTTCTGTTGTTGCCAAAGATGACATCACTTTCATCTCTTTACATATTAATAGTCTAACATTCTGTTTGATGGTTTCCCATATTTAAGTTGACTAGAAAATAGGAGAAAGTGTATGTTATATTTAACATGTTCCTCACCTCTGCATTATGAGCTGCTCATATTGGCAACTGGAGATCCTCCATAGAAGAGTGCATGTTTTTTTTCCCCCCCTGCAAATACCTGCTGTGGTCAAATTCAGTTACCAGGACTTTGTTCAATAAACTTTTTAATACAACAGCATCTTAACTCTGTTTTCTGTAGATTATTTCTTCATCCAAGTGATTTAAAATCCACAAAAAAATCCAAAAGAAATCCTAAAAATAAGAGAAATAAATAGAAAAGTTCCTGGTTATTCTGAGCTTGTCCCTGAGACTAATTTTAAACATCATCAACATATGTAGACACAAATCAAACTTGTCCTCCATTTGAAGTGCCTTATTATTTGTCATAATAAACAAAGACACAGTTTTTCCTGACTTCATTTGATCATTGTTTTTCCTGTTTTTTTTGTAGATAATCTTTATTTACGACTATCTGGCTTAACGATGACGGAGGATTAGGGCCACGCTAAAAAAATGTTTAAGATTTCGAGATTAAAGTCGTACATTTACGAGTTCGAGACCAGCCTGCGCGAAAATGATGAAAGTAGAACTCTTAAAGTCTTTTCCTCTGCAGACAACTTCCTCCAAGTCAGTGTGGTTCTTTCTTCGGAAAAGCCAGTTTCTTGCAGTATCTTTTCAGGGTGCTCATATTTTATGACAATGTGAAGATGATGATGTGCCAAAAGCATGTGTAGTTTCATATCTGCATAAATTCAGCCCCAACACAACTATTTGTGTCTGATATCGGTCTGCCTTGTTAAAGTGTCTCATGTGCAGAGCCAGTTTGTGTCCTGTTCATTCATCATTTTACAGACAAACAAGGTCTTGCAAATTGAAGTGAAAACTTCTCTTGAACTGTTTTTACCGACTACACAAGGATGCAGCCTGTTTCCCTTATTATTGAAACCTTTAGGACAAGATGCTCCATGTTTGTCATTTGAGAACAGGATGCTGCTGCTCTTCTGATATAGACTCAAATAACGACTTTATTCTTTTATTCTTTAAAGACTTAAGAGTTGTACTCTACCTGTACCTGTACAAAATTATTATTTTTTTATAATTTTAATGTGGCCTTAATCCTCCGTCGTACTTGACCACTACTTAAATAGAGCGGTACGTATTACTGCCTGGAACCTGACTGTTTTTTTTTTGTTTTGTTTTTATAATGTGAAAAGTAATTAGAATTATATTGTTCTTCATTGTATACTATTTAGAAGAGAATATGACCAGGGTTATATTCTTTTTTTCTGTTGACATTACTGCTGAATATGTTCCATTGAAGTGTGTCAGTTTTAGAGTCCTGTTATTTTAGTTATTGTGTTTAGAGAAACATGCACTTCACCAAAATTGAACAACACTGTTCTCTATTATTATTTGGTTCCTGAAGTGCCTTTCCCACTATGACAAGTCAAAACATGCTTTCCAGTAGTTCATTTTTTTGTGTGCAAAATATTATGTTGTTCACAACAAAGACACTAATCACAAAGTGGTAGAATAGCCCAAATAAAAACCCAAATACAACGCATATAAAGCCTTTTTTTACCTAACAAAGTGGTCTCAATTTGATCATATGAATATTGTCATTGGCTGTTGAACAAAAAAAAATATATTTTTAATTATTTTCTGTCATTTTAGCTCTAGTAATCTTGTTATTTGAAAAGGCCAAACAGAAAAGCAATCCTGAAAGGCATTGCATCATAGTGCAGTCAGTGGTGACAGTACCAGCTACTTCCTGATGCGGTCACTTAGATTCTTTTTAATCCATCTTTTTATTCATCACTACCTCATGAGTCATACTTCAGAATGACCTCAAAATGGACGTATGAATCATCATACATTCAGGTATTGTCACGTCACCTCAGAGTGCTCTTTTTTCTCTTCCAAGAACCTTTTCTACCCTTTATAATCAATAGAGTTGAAATGTAGAAGCACCAAAGGAAAGGAGACGAAGCCTACCTCAAAATATTACCTAGTTAAATGGTTCAGTAAAAGTATAGCCTATATAGCCTAACTTACTTTTCACAACATAAAAAAAAGTGTATGCAGTTTATCAATGGCTGAGACAGCAATTATTTTAAATGAAATTGTAGTAAGATTGTGTGAAATTACCAGTTAAAAATTTAAGGCAACACTTAGGATTCACGAGCAGCATATAAACATAGAACAATTCATAATAACAAAATACTTCAATCATAAAATAAATGGTTTTCATTTTAGCTAACTGTGTGGTGTTTAGTAGGCCTGTGAACTCCAAATAGAAAAAAATAGCTGATAGGAAATTACATGAACAAACTTACAATTCAAAGGTTTCTACCTTGATTCAGGGCACTAACAGTAAACATGTGTAGGACTCGTACAGGGAGGGAACTCTCAGTTATCATCTACTAAATGTTTCCTCCCTTGAGACGTCCCTGAGTAATAAACACAGTGACAGCAGCCTCAGGGAGGAAGTGACGCAATGGCTCATTATAATAATTTATGCTGATATCATTGCTTCAGTCCTCCACCAATCAGCGCTCTTCACTTTCACCACCTGCTAGGAACTGAATTCCATCATTCCAGGCATTCCTGCCCTCCCTCCCTCCTTCTCCCTCCCCCCTCCCTCCCTCCCTCCTCCTCCTCCTCCTCTTCTTCCTCGTTTAGCCTACAACCAAGTTTTGTCCCGACAGCTCAGCTACTATTGTCTCTGCTCGTTCGTTAACCGCGGCTTTTTGTGTTGAATCTCTGTGGAATATATATCTTTTTAAGTTGTTTTCTATTTCCTTTTTTTTTTTTTGTGTGGAGTAAATTATACTGGAAGATACCAAAGTGGCGCTTGAAGGAGGTACGTGTGCTGCTAAACATGAAGTTTGTGTGTGACTGACATTGTTTCGGGTTTGTGGGAGTGCGCTCTTTTTGTGACTGTCTCGGTGCAATTCATTGTTTCATTCGGGAATTCTTCCTCCTGTTTATAAAGAAAGCGGTGAGAACAAATGTAAGAAAGGGCTTCAATGAAATTCGCCTTGTCACACCAAAGTGAAATTTTATTCACGTTACGAAGGCAGGTTGCAAAACTTTCTCATGTCAAAACTGTACATGTTTCTTCCAATTTGGGGATTTGGGGACATTTAGCCTTCTCTCTGTAAGTGGACTCAGGCAACATCTCATAGTAAAGTAACGATACATTTAATATAGGACATACCGTTTAAGCCACCTTTTGCCTCTTAATTTCCAACCCTTCAGGAAGCACCGCGTCATGTTGCTTTAAATTAAGGTCTGATGGAAATGTATGTACAGTAGGCGCACTTGTTACAAATATAGTTGCCACATTACGCGCACAATGTAGACAATGTTGTGCTGTGAAAAAAAGAAGCACAATTCACCTGACTGGTTTGCAGGAAAGTTAGACATTGCATGACAAATGTTGTAATGATTAATCCAGCTTTAGTGTTTTTTTTTTGTTTCTTGTGGAAATGAGGGAAAGGTATCTTAGGAATGCAGAAAGAGGGAAGAGAAGCGCGCTGGTGCGTTTTTCTGTCCACACATACCTGATAGCGCCGCCAGACTGAAGGCTCAACTTTACAGGATAGATATATTCATACAATGATGAAACGAATCCTGGGTAGAGGACAGTGTGCAGAAATGACAGGCAGGGAGGGTCCACATTTTTTTTTAACAAACTAAAAAGCACTGAGCATAGTCATCACCACCTCTAAAACAAAAAGAACAATAACAAACTTCTACAGGCCTATTTGAAGTATAGCTACTTCAACACAACTCAAAGTCCAGTATTAAACTTAAAAGGGGGAATTAAAAGTACTCGTGCAAAATGAGCCCATCTCAGGGTCTTATTATCTGCTGTGTATTTGAGCTGCAATGCTTAATTGAGAAATGAAACAACAGCAGAAATATCATTAAGTTCTTTGATGGAAAATGATTGGTTAATGTCATGTTTAACAACTGCTTCCATCTGGTCCCTTCTTGTCTTTCATGGTAAATTATGATGGATATTTTTTCACTGTTTCCAACATTTTCCAAAACATTAGTTAAGACACACATATTCCAATACACATGTAAGTAAAATCATTGACAGCAATGATGTCTTACTGTATCTTATATTATTAAGACTGTATTATACAGTCTTAATAATATCTGATATAACAAAACTGAGGATGGCATACAAAAATGTCATGTTTAAGCTTGTGATTAGAAAATATCAAACACTTTTTGTGCTGAGCCTATTCGTTACAATAATGGACTTGTGTGATCATGAAAGACTTTTGGAGATCTTATTGACTTGTCATCTACCACATATGAACTTTTTACTTGCCATATAGAGAGATGAGAGCCAAACACTACAGCACTGTGCCCTCCTTTATGTCTTACAGGCATCCAAGCATGGAGACACCACTGGATGTTCTGTCAAGAGCAGCATCATTTGTTCATGCGAACGAAGAAGAAAGTAAGCCACTTCTCAATCTTCCTCTTGTTTTGTTGTCAGTAAAGAAGCGTTCCTCTGTCTAGACTCTCAGTGCAGTCAAAAGGTGCTCTGTGTATAAAATGATTTGAATGATTAGTCGCCTTGCATGTCGATGGACGTTGTGTTCAGCAGTAAGCCTTCTTGGCCCTGTTTGCTGCCATTAGACAATAGGCATCTTTGTGCTGTGCAAACTTCGCAGATACACAGGCAAATAAGAGCAACCGCACTCAACCGCCATCAGCACTGCTTTTTAACCAGCTGCTTGCTTGTGTTAACCTGCTTCCACTGATATCAGGGTGGGTTTGTGCTCTCTCTGTTTACATCTGTCTGTCTCGACTTCAGTCTTGTTCCATCTTCAACTTTCTGTCTATATTCTTGTCCTATTGATCTCTGTTTATCATCCTCCTATCAGTCTCCCTGCTTCTCCTTGTCTTCTTCTGTTTTTCCTCTGCTCTGTGTGCCAGGAATTCTGGCCTTGCTGGAAATAAATTCCTTCCTAGATTAAGGAGAAATTGCCAATCCTCGTCAGCAGGCCTCTCTGCACAGTCAGTAGACCTCTAAGCTGAGTGAAACAGACATGGACACTTAGAATTCAGTTGTTCCCACTGATAATTGAACTGCAGTGTTTGGAAGTGGGAATCAATTTGTTGTAGCTTTTAGTGTTTTCATCATAAACTTAACGTGGATGTATGCATCTCTTTCCATGCTGTACAGATGAGAGTGACAAGTGTAATCTCTTCATGAATTTGTTTATATTCTTGTAAAGGGATTTGAAGCATTAGGGAGAACTTTGATTGAGGAACAAAGAAGAGAACTGAATTCAATTATAAGACATGGATATTATAAATTCCTAATAATGTGCAAGCTAGCTCTTCTTAAAACCTTTCAAGGAAGCAAGTTCTTCAAGT